CAGAACTTCCCCTGGCAAACCATGGCACACAGTTAACTGTTAAGGAGTAACTAAAGCAAGGATGTTGAATAAGAATATGCATTTGTGTGGGGGAAGGGTAATAATTGCAAATGGTCATATGATCCTTATTTCTTATTTTTTATTTATATTTTTCTTGATTTCAGAGAGGAAGAGAGAGAGAAAGAGATAGAGAGAGAGAGAGAGAGAGAGAGAGGAGAGAGAGAGAGAGAGAAACATCAGTTATGAGTGAGAATCACTGATCGGCTGCCTCCTGCATGTCCCCTACTGGGGATCGAGCCTGCAACCTTGGGCATGTGCCCTTGACCAGAATTGAGCCCGGGACCCTTCAGTCCGGAGGCCGATGCTCTATCCACTGAGCCAAACCAGCAAGGGCTGAAGCTTATTTATGAAGTTACATTTGAGTGGCAACCTCACAACCTCGTTGAGGAGTGAGCCATGTAGCTATCTGTAGATTCCTAGGATGCACTTTTCAGAAAAAGAGAACAAGTGGAAAAGTCCTGAGATAGGAGCAAAACAAGTGCATTCCAGGAAGAGCAGAGAGACAGTTGTGCTGGAGCGGAATGCACAAGGGGAAGGATGTTAGGGGGTAAAAGAAGAGATTGGAAGCCATCTTATGCAAATGAATTTAGAAACGGAGTGGGGGACTCAGATTGGGTAGCATTTTATAGACCATTTTAAGGACTGTGGCTTGCTCTAAATGAGATGGGAGGCACTAGGAAGTTTTGAGCAAGAGACACCTGCTCTGACTTACATTGTACCAAGATCCCTCTCCTCTGGCTTCTTTAGATCAGTGGTCGCCAACCTTTCGGACCTCGCAGACCACCAGTTGGCGATCACTGCTTTAGAGTATGAACCGAAGGCCCTGGCCAGTTTGGCTCAGTGGATAGAGTGTTGGCCTGCGAACTGAAAAATCCCAGGTTCCATTCCCATCCAGGGCATGAACCTGGGTTGCAGGCTCAAACCCCGACCCTGGTCCGGGCGAGTGTAGGAGGCAACCAATCGATGTGTCTCTCTCACATTGATGTTTCTCTGTCTCTCCCCCTACCTTCCACTCTCTCTAAAAATCAATGGAAAAATATCCTTGGGTGAGGATTAAAAAAAAAAGTTAAAATAGAGTATGGACTGAAGGAGGGCAAAAGTGGAAGCAGGGAGCAGTCAGGAGGTGATGCCATGATCCAGGGGAGACATGTTGGTGACTTGGACCAGGGTGGTAGCTGAGTGCATGGCAACTATTAAGGGCTGAATTGTGTTCCCCAAGAAGCTATGTTGAAGTCTTAATCCTTAGTACCTGTGAATGTGACTTTATTTGGAAATAGAGTCTTTGCATATGGAATTAGTTGAGATCATACTAGAGTCGGGTACATCCCTAATCCAAATGACTGGTGTCCTTATAAAAAGGGGACATTTGCCAGTGTGGCTCAGTGGTTGAGTGTCAACCTATGAACCAGGAGGTCACAATTCAATTCCCAGTCAGGGCACATGTCCAAGTTGTGGGCTCAATCCCCAGTGTGGGGCATGTAGGAGGCAGCCAATCCACGATTCTCTCTCATCATTGATGTTTCTCTCTCTCTCTCTCTCTCTCTCTCTCTCTCTCTCTCTCTCTCCTTCTCCCTTCCTCTCTGAAATCAATAAAAAAATGTATTTTTTTAAAAAAATGGTTCCTTCTCACAATTTGTAGAGTATTGATATGTAGGAAATATGGTTAATCAGCAGGCCCATCTCCTTTATGACACTTGTTGTAGTTATAAAGTATCAAAATAAAAAGTATAAACATGAGAAATATAATCAATTTTGGCCACTATTCTAGAAAGTCATTCTGTAATGACTAAATAGTCTAAAATTATGGCATCACTTGGTTTTTGAGTCAAGAAGATAAAAGCTCTCCAACCCATTGTGTAATTATAAAGCTTTGGAGACTAACTACTTGGACTTCCCAGCTGATGCCTTATTTTTACCTAACACGGACAGAAAAGCTTCCATCTGGCCCTTGAAAATACATGATTATTACTATTTTTTTTTTTTTGGCAGAGGCACTTAATAGTCAAGGGGCCTTATGTAAAAGGAACTGGAAAAGGAAATAAACCATTGTAACAACTGGGCCATGATTATGCAAGATTCAACTACTACAAGAGAGGTGTTCCAAACCCCTTTCTCCTTTCAAGGTGACCAACTGACCTTGGGTTAGCTTTCTAGCTCGGTTGCCCCTGGAAACCTGATGAAGATGGACCATCAGCTGTGGGACCAGGGGAAATTGATTCAGGTAACATGCCCAGGGTAGTACCTTGTGTCCAAGCCACGAGGGCCGTCAGTGGTCGTAAACACTTGCTGGGAGCCACAGCTCTGGCTTCCCAGTGCAGTGCACCTGTTGCCCCTGGGGCCTGTCCCTGGCCAGGACATGGGGATGCTAGGCACGGGGGATTTTTCCAGGAGGTAGTGGTCCCTTCGGGCTCCTAAGCCTGGGGCTCCTGCTCCCATCTGTGTAGTTTGTGAGGACTGCTGCCAGAATCCCCACAGAACTGTGCCTAAAGCTGCCCCCTGGCATGGTGTCTTGCCTGTCTCGTGTCCTTCAGAGTAAACTAGTGTCAGGCATGGCCTATCCAGGCCCTGGGAGTTTATATGTGTAGCTGTGATGGGTGTTGTGCATGTATGTACTTGGCAGTGTCTTCAGAGATGGCACAATCCCACATTAATACCAAATAGGCACAGGCATGGCTATCAAAAAGGTATGAGATTAGAACCAACCAAGATAAGTAAACCTTTAAGAAATGGCTTAAGACCCTTAAAGGTACCACTGAAGATTAGGGCAGAGAACAGCAAACATACAGACAAAGGAGAGTATTCATTCATTAAAGGATTGAACTTAAGTCAACACTTTTACCAAATTTAGTCATAAAGGAGCAAGGCATCATGGTACAAAGGGGGGAAATTCAGGAGCTGGATCTGACTGGCTATGCAGCTTTGGATAAGGCCATCCGTGTTTGAATGGCAGAGGGTAGGCAGTGGGAATGAACTGTGCTTTCCATCAGCCCCTGCTGTTGCTTCTGACAAAACTACTCTGTTAACCCCAGAAAATAAAATGCTACAATCATTAACACCATAATTATATTTTTGGTAATCTAATCTCAGGGGAAAAAATCTTAAATACAAGAAAAAGCCCTATGTAAAAGTGTAAAGTGAATTCTTTGTTACTTAAATAGAGAACACAATTTAAAGCCACCCAGATGTCTGTGAATCACAGTCTACTACATTAGACTTCTACTATAAAACTAGTATGTTAATGTAATAGCACTATATAAGTAAATTCCATGTTAAGTAAAGAATGGATAAAAATCACAGAAAAAAATATTTGTTATTTTTAAAAAACTATGCATAGAAAAAGAAATGGAAGACAGAATGTTAAGGGAGACTACAAGTGAAACTTAAAATCTTTTCCCTCCATTTTCTAAAACAAACCTTGGTTTTATCATGCAAAAATAATTAAATTTCAGTTACATTTCCAACATATTTGTTACCCAGTATCAAGTTTTATAGTTAATCCTTTTCCCATATCTTCTCTAGGTATATTATACTACTATTCTGATTAAGCTTGAAAATATATCAAGTCAAGTTGGCTATGTTAATTCTCAAAATGTAAACCATTATATGAGAAATGATCTGGCTGAGGCAGAATTTAAATATCTTTCTTTTACGTAATTATCAGAGCCTAACACCATTCCTCAACATACTGGGTGTGTATATATATATTTCTAAAAAGCTGTGTCTCTTCTTACTGCCTGGAATACCCAAAAATTCGTATTTCCATTTTCATGGACTTAAACTAAGAGAGATCTGAGCAAATCATTCCAGTACTAATAGTACCAAAAACATTTTGTACCAGTATTCTTACCATAGTAAAGTTTGGGGAAAAGTAGCACTTTTAATATTGTAAGATGTTTATAAACCTCAAATTCTAAAGCATGGGAATTTAAAATTATGGAAGAAAAACTGACTCAAGGAACTTTGGTACCTTTCAGATTGAACTTCTCAATTGTTTGCTTATCTGCCATCCCTCCAAGAGGATTTTATGTTTTTTTACAAACATCAGAAGTTCTTGAGACATGCAAGTTATATGTACAAGTAAATAAACTTCACGAGTATGTGAAAAGACCCATGTTAACTTGAGAAAGAATGACATGAAAAGGGTGTCATGCCAGTTTTAACTTCACTGTTTTAATAACACGAAATACAAGTACAAAACATTGTACAAGTAAGTATACTTTTTACTACATGGAGATGGAATAATACATTTGTGTTTTTCCCAGAATCTGTATCACCCACTACTATTCCTATAAGGTTTTAACATGAATAAAAAAAACACACACACACACAAAACAAGTCGTTCCAACCGTTGTTTTTAATCTTAATATTTTTGTTCAGCTGCTTTGGAGAATTAAGAAATACAAAATCACCTTAGCCAAGAGTTTTGAGTGGGTAATTTTGTTATTTCATATTGGCTGAAATCTCCCTTATGTTGGCATTGCAAAGACACTGTGCACTGACAGAGGACAGGAAAAAGTGTTGTCTTAAGAACCCTCTTAAAACTTAAGAAGGCAAATGACCATTTCCTGTAAAGTACAGAATATTATAATAAATAACAGCAACAGAGGACTATAAAGCCCCACATGTACTGAAGAAAAGCAAGTCTGCAAATATTTGAGAGTAACATCATATAATAAAGAAAAAGTAAACTGTGCTTAAGTGTCCAGAATTCAGCCTCCACAGCATACATCCGTTTTCAGCCATTTCAATTAAGACTTTTCTTATAATAAACAAACAAAACAATGATGAAAGTAGCATTTACTATGTTGGAAATGCAAATAAAAAGTAAAAAATACTGCTAATTCCATAAAATATTTGGAATTAATTTTGTTTTCATAAATAAATAAAATGATGTTGGTGTTTATCTCTTTTTAAAGTTTTAATGATCATTCTTACTGTTTAAAAAACATTCAAACTAATGTCAACTTTTAAGAATAAACTTTGGAATATTTAAAAGAACATGTTTGGAAAAATGAACCACATTTTTCATTGAGAGAATTATGCTTTGTTCTTGGCGGAATCATCTTTGTTTCTTCTTTTTACGTCCCAATTATAAACCCTGGCCATATCTGCAAGAATTGTTAAAGAAAATGCAAGTGCAATTCTAAAGATAACATTTGCAATGACTAGGTATGCACACACATTGAATCAAAGTCAGAAATCACACACACAAAATACTGATGACAAGTAGTGTTGTGAGCCATCTTTTTTTTTTTTTATTCGTTTTTTACAGAGAGGAAGGGAGAGGGATAGAGAGTTAGAAACAGCGATGAGAGAGAAACATCGATCAGCTGCCTCCTGCACACTCCCCACTGGGGGATGTGCCCGCAACCAAGGTACATGCCCTTGACCGGAATCGAACCCGGGACCCTTGAGTCCGCAGGCTGACGCTCTATCCACTGAGCAAAACTGGTCAGGGCATGAACCATCTTGCTATAATATCATTTGCTACGAAAATACTGGAACTAAATTCCACCAAAATTAAGTCAAGGTGTCAAATCAGCAATTGTTTAGCATATTTAATCAATTATGGTATTATATTTAACATATATGTGCTTGACACTGTCAACAGTTTTAAAGACAGCCCCTTATCCTGATATGTAATATTTAAATTAGTACAATTATCAATAATTTTACCTTTGCCCTTCCCTTTAACAGGTCACTCAATTTATTAAGCACCAAAAAAAAAAATTATTAAGCACCTACATCTTTTCCTTTCCACAAGCAGCACCTGTGTAGGCCCTCACATATCAATTACTTCTTCCATGGATAGTGACTTTGGTGCTGTATCCACAAAGTCATCATCATACTCAAGGTCATCTAGGTTTGCTCCTATGCTACCTTCTGGGAATTATACAGGTTATTTTTTTCTCCAAAGTCTTTACATTCAAGTCACATTCAAGTCACACACCATCCCCGCTCTGGGCCTCAAACAAGCCTGCCTTCCCTCACCCAAGCACTCAATGCCTGCCAGGTGCTACATACTGTGGAGAAGAGAGAGAAAGTACAGCTTCTACACTTGAAGAATTCGCAGTCTGACATGAAAAACAAATGAAGAACTATGTGCAAAGTGCTAAGTAAGCCCAGAGGAACAAAACACCCTGAGAGGGTCAGAAAATGTTCAGAAATGTTCTGATGCTTGTGCTGAAATATGAAGGATAAAAAGTAAGCCAGGTATGCCCGGCCAGTGTGGCTCAGTGGTTGGGCGTCGACCCATGAACCAGGTCACGGTTCCATTCCCGGTCAGGGGCACATGCCTGGGTGGTGGGCTCAATCCCCAGTGTGGGACGTGCAGGAGGCAGCCAATCAAAGATTCCCTATCATCACTGATGTTTCTATCTCTCTCTCCCTCTCTCTTCCTTTCTGAAATCAATAAAAACATTTTTTTAAAGTAACCCAGGTAAATAGGAGGAAATCATTCCAGGCAGGAGGAACAAAGTGAGGAAAAGCAAAGGGTGTGGCATTTGGGGGGAGGGCCAGGGCAGGAAGAGTCAGTGGCAGGAGGTAAGACTGATTGGTCTAAGAATAAGGACATTCTTCTCGTTAAAGCAATGTAAGAAAGAACACTGAAAACATCTTTACCCTTTCCTCCCTTTGTTTCTTGTTAAGAAAGGATACTGACTTCAGTGGTAGTAAACTGATCTCGAAGAAAGTCAAGGTCTTCCTCAAGAGAATCCAGGTTCTTTGTGGCAGTTGTTAAATTCTTTTCCAACAATGCCTGAGCTTCGTCGATATCATATTCAAGCATTACGTTAGCCTGAGGGGAAGAGAGAAAGTCATGAGAATTACTAAACATTCACATAGTGCTTTGTAGGTTAGAGCAGGGGCTGGGCGAAATCCAGCTGGCTGCCTTCTGTCTTAAGTTTTATTGGAGCCCAGCTATTCTCCACGCACTCCTGCTTTCAAGCCAGTGTCAGAGCTAAGTAGTTGTGACAGTGACCAAGTGGTCTGCAAAGCCAAAAACATTTACTCTCTGACCTTTTTTATAAGTTTATTGAGCCCTGGCCAGTTTTCTCAGTGGTTAGAGCATCAGTCCGCAGACCAAAGGGTCTCAGGTTCAATCCCCAATCAAGGGCACATACATGGTTGCAAGTTTGACCCCGTGCAGGAGGCCACCATTCGATGTGTCTCTCTTTCTCTCTCTCTCTCTCTCATTCTCTCTCTCTCCCTCCCTCCCTTCCATTCTCTCTAAAAATCAATGGGAAAATGGGAAAAATATCCTCAGGTGAGGATTAAAAAAAAAAAAGTTTATTGACCCCTGGGTTAGAGAATATATTTACATACATTATATCATTTACTCCTAGTAACAACCCTGGTAAGGCAAGTTATTTTCATCTTTACAGTTAAAAAAAACAGGCTGAAATGTTAGGTTGCTTATGTTTGCATAGCTAGTAAGTAAATGGGAGAATTAGGGTAAAAACCAATATGTTTAGATACCAAAACCTATCTTTCTATCATGACACTAAGTAGTGTTACATTTGAATCCATTTAAATAGCTGTTTCTGAGGTTAAGATACAATAATTTAAAAGTTTTCCAATACATCTATGTTTGATTCAATAAGAAAAACAGCTAGCTTTTACTGTCCCCCTTCTACCTCCAACAGATGTTAGGGGTGAAAGCAAGGTGACTGTCTGGGATTCTCAAGAGCTGGTGTTACTGCCGACACTTGGGGTGTGTGCACCGTGGAGGGGGGAACATACCTTTTACAGCTCCGAACTCCTCCTATCACCTGACTTACCACCAAGCATTTCCTGAACCACTTTCCTCATTGGATAAATGAAATTTAAAAATGACTCACAGGATTACTGTAAGCATCAAATGAGACAACATGAAAGTGTTTGGCACAAAGTAGGTGCTGCAAAAACACTGACTAACGCAATCCGTAATTAGAAAACTGCATAAAAATTCAGGTAATACATTTAAAAACACTTCATTTATGCTAGAAAGCATCAATTGTTCTTCAGGAAGTACCCTGTGCCAAGAATTTCTCCTCAGTTGAGTCACTCCTCAAACGCTGCCTTATCAGCCTCCGCACTTGACGCTCTAAACAGGCGTCTAGGACAGACATGCCCAAAACACAACTCCTAGTCCCCCTGCAAGACTCTTAGTGCTTTGCTGCAATATGAGTTTCCTGTTCATTGTCTTTTGACTTACGATTTCTGACCTTTGTGGCCTAAAAAACCATTGCTATTTCAGGGTTACAAAATAAGTCGTCTCGGAGTTGGCCTAAACTTTGATGGTGTCAGCATTTCGTGTAAGTATGTGATCCATGTGGAATTCATCCTAGTGTGAGATGTCAGGTGGGCTCCAGCCGTAATTCTTCCCAGAGTTCCCTGTTGTCCCAGGCTAATGTATGGAATCATCTCATCCCCGCCTGCTGATGGAATGTGGGTGGAGGGAAAGAGAAACCAAGGTGAATGACCCCTAGGATTTGAGCCGCTGGGTGAATGGCGGTTCCACTTGCAGAAGTAAAACTCAACAAATATGGGAATGATCGTATAGAATTAAGTGCACAAACTCTGAAGATATTACAATCCACAACAACTGAGGGTTAGAGAGGTGAGTTTCTGTGTACTAAACGGTCCACCTTTCATAGGTCTCTCTCAGGGGTGATTCCACAAAACAGCAGCAAGGGGGAGTCCTCAGTGGAAAGCTGGGAGCAGTACACTTGACTTTCTATTTTTGTATGGGAACTTGCCTGCAATAACAAGACCTATGGACGGCTAGCTAGACCAGCGGTCACCAACCGGTGGTCCACGGACCACTGGTGGTCCGTGAGGTCCGAAAGGTTGGCGACCGCTGAGCTAGACAGTCAGGAATGGCTTGGTTAGGGGACTGAGAGGAGTAATAAAGGAAACATCAAAGCAAGGTCTATGAAATCATCTAAAGCTGAAGTGTATGGTTTAAAAACTGAACTCCAACCTCAAGGTTGTTTTTTTTATAATAATCTTCCCCCCACCACCACCAAGTTTAGAGAGATCTTTCTAGAACTTTTAAACTCCTATTGGGAAGGAACATTTATCTGAGGTTCAGCAGTCCCTTCCATTGCCCCGCCTTCAGTTACATATAAGAGATAAAGCAGTAGCTGAAGGGAAGTAGGGCTTGGTCAGTTGTGTTTGTTTGGGAGAGACTTGAGAAGGTTTTGTAACCATCTTCATCGCACTCCTAATTTCAGTCAATTTCTAATATGGACCACCTGAATCCCACCCCTTCCTTCAACAGTCAAAAGGAGATAAGCATTTACGTAGCTGAAACAATACTGTTGTGCAGGGAAAACAATGTCAGCCAATGAAGCTGTGGCTATTATATTTACTTACCCCCAACCACAGACACACTTTATCGGTAGGAGGAACTGAAGCTTTGCAGTACAGGTTATCTGCCAGTAAGAACCTGGTCTCCATTGAATTGGTGGACTCCTTCAAAAAAAAAATGACAGTACTATAAGCAGGCCAGTTTAATACCAAGGTCATAAAGGAGAGAGCTCACAGCTGAACCTAAGTCATTTAAACTAGTACCATCATGTACCCAGCCGGTGTGGCTCAGTAGTTGAGCATCAACCTAAGAACCAGTAGGTCACGGTTCGATTCCCAGTTAGGTTGCGGGCCTGCTCCCTTGCAGGAGGCGTGCAGGAGGCAGCCAATCAATGATTCTCTCTCATCATTGATGGTTCTATCTCTCCCTCTCCCTTCCTCTCTGAAATCAATAAAAATATATTTTAAAAAAATAAAAATAAAAAAACAGCACCATCATGCAAACTAAGTATAGTGGTAAAAGAAATGAATGCTTGGAGCCAGGTGGCTGGACATGGATTCTGGTTCAACTGCCTACTACCTGTATAAATTTGGCATATCACCCTAACCGGTTTGGCTCAGTGGATAGAGCATCAGCCTGCAGACTGAAAGGTCCCAGGTTCGATTCCAGTGAAGGGTATATACCTTGGTTGTGGGCACATCCCCAATAGGAGGTGTGCAGGAAGCAGCTGATCGATGTTTCTCATCGATGTTTCTAACTCTCTATCCCTCTCCCTCCCTTCCTCTCTGTAAAAAATCAATAAAATATATTTTTTTAAAAAAGGTCACTACAGTTAAAAACTGGAGTTACAAAACAAGTTTAAAAAAAAATTTGGCATATCACTTAACCTCTGTGTCTCAGGTTCCTCATGTGTAAAATACGGATAATAGTCCCCACACCTCTGAAGGCCATCACAAGCAGAGCGCGCGTGCGAACACACACATGTGAACACGCGAACACACACACACACACACACACCAGTGCCTGGTACAGAGTAGGCACTACACAAGGGTTAGCTATTATTCTTACTTAATCAGTGCTTCATGCCCAACCAATCAGTTCTGAAATCTTACCAAGTTCACCGACATAAAATAATGTACTGGAAATGCAGTTATTCTACCAGTCAAGGAATACATCATATATCCACATATATAACCTTTTAATACAACATCCTTATGAAATTTAATTTTTACAGATTTCTTTTAGTTAATGAGTATTGGATTAAGACTCCGAAGATTCTCAAATCCAGTTCTGCCAGTAACTAGCTATGTGACACTGGGTAAGAACTTCTCTGTAACTGTATGCTCAGCTGTGAAACGAGAATCTGAAACATAATTTCTAAGATTCTTTCCAGCTCGAGAAGTCTTGGACTCCCTCCGTATTCTCAGGGAGAACAGTAACAACAACAAAAAACCTTAGATGCTGCTACTGCAAAATAAGACGTCTTCTTTTCGTTATCTAAAATAATTTCAAATTGCATTTAAGTTTTGCGAATACTACACAGAAATAAAATAATCCAAGTACGGGCCCTAGAATTAAACATGGTTTGGGGGAGGAAGCCACAAAACCACGTTTATCATGGAAGCACACTGTCTATAACATCAGTACACGTGGTCGAGAAGGCTGACTGGATCTCCCAGCACAGATCAAATACCAGTGAGCAGAGTCAAGAAAAACGCATCTCTGAAGTATCCTGATTCACTCACATTTATAAACAAAAATGCACTTACTTTCTTCTTCTGCATGTATTTCAGAATTTCTAAAGTCTGCTTAATTTCGGGAATCTGACCCTTTAGCCTGTGAATAAGAAAAGAGGTTAACCGAGGGTTTCACAGCAAGAATAAACACCAGGACACAGTCTTACAAGCTTTGCCTATTCTACTGATATGTTCTTGAGGACTATTTACAAATATAAAATATTTAAGATCTTTCATAAGGTTTATCAAAATATTTAAGACATAAATATTTACTAACATATTTAGATATGATAACAGTATTTATAGAATACCTATTGTACACAAAGCCCCAGTCTATCAAACATCACATCATTACTTAACATTTCAAGAGCAAACCATATTCCACAGAGATGATTCAGAAGTTCCACATTTGATCAAAACTGCATTTTAAGCAGATTACTTTTAAAAATAATGTGCATTCAAATATTATATTCTGAACTCGAAACCACTGGAAACCACCAACTCCCTATCCAGGGCTGCATGTAGCTGCTCCTGGCGAGTACTCAATGCACAGACAATACATCACCGTCAGCCAAATGCCAGCCAAGTACACTGGCAGCTTCTCAGGGCTTACGCTTGTCACACTGCAAGAAATGTACAGAGAGAAAACCAAGATGGCGGCATAGATAAACACCGGAGATTGCTGCTTAGCACAACCACTTCAAGAATACAACTAAAAGACGAAACGGACATCATCCAGAAC